GTATCTGCAAAAAATGTTTTGTTTTATTTTCCTTCAAAGATCTTGAAGTGAAAATATCAACAATGCAGATGTTATAGTAGTCAGAGAAAGCCAGGATTTGTTTGATACATTTGTAAATGTTATCCTAACACCCAAAACGACGTTACGCCGCGACGCCGTCAAAAGTCTCACACATTGTAAAACCCAGTGGAGGGATCAGATCTCCTACACTGGACTCAAGAGGTTGGCAACCCTGAAATCATAAATATCAAGTCATAATGCTGGCAAAAAACTCCAGTAATGAGATTTTGAATATATATAAGTTTAGCAAGTATGGACTAACTGACAAATGAATATGACTTGCTTAAGTGTAATTCTAAGGTCAACTTATGCTTAGATTAAATACAACACACGAACAGCAACCATGGCAGTCACATCAAAGCCACGTAAATTGATTACTCCATTCATCAAGAAGTGTAGTAATATCACAGACTTATAGGGTTGTAACCGACTCCTCCACCTCAGTTCCTGTCAAGTATCCAGCAAATGGTCAGCTATATTAAGGTTACATGTACTTTATAGAGGGAATGAAATATGACACTTGTCTATTTCCAAGGCTCAATGACCATTCCCGTCCCATTTTATGGGAAAACTTGTGAAATCAATAGTGTCCACTTATAGTTATACAGCTTGGTGACCAGTTCCAGTGTGGTCAAGTCTGGTAATGTTATGTATCAGAGACTTTTGCTATTTAGAAATTGATAGGGCAGCTGGAAATCCCTCCCTGACCACTCACCAGTAGGTAAGGTTACCCCTGTCAACACAGACTTATGATAGAGTGTAACAGCTGGCTGTTAGATATCAGTTTTAGATTTTTACCAAAAACCCAAAATTATTTATATGTTAAGATATAATATAGACTGACACTTTCACAGGGATATAGTGAAGTGGACCTTTATTTACCTGAATATTTTTTTCCCTACAATCATATTCAACCAGTAACACATCCACTATGAGAATATGGTTTATATTGCAGATCTGGGCCCGTATTAACCATTCTTGTGCTCAAACTCAGATTCTGACCTCAAGTCGAACTGCTTTTTCTGGTGAAAGATTAACAAAACATCCTCTTTATGTGATTATATTAATCAGTCTTCAACTTAATTATTGGTGACTTCAATTCATCACCAGATTCTCTCAAAAGCACTTATTCATTATTGGAGTCCCTTATCACATTCCATGACACTACAATAATAACCATTATTTCAGTTCTGGCGGTTCTGTCTTATCCTCTTCCTCATTTAAATCAAAGTACACTACTTCGGTATGTAAATATTATACTAACACTGCTAGACATGGGAGAGCCAGATGTTTTATTAAAGGCCGCCTCTGCCAGTCAGTAGTAACCTTAAATGTGAAACCTTTGATTAGAAGGTCTGACGGCTCCACCCAAACAGGCCCATGTTTTCAAAACAACAGCTCAAATAGTGCACTGTAAAGACAAATAAGCACCAACATGCTTGTGCACACTCCGACTGTACAGGCGGCAGTGTTTATCACATTACTGCAAACCCCTGCTGTGAACGGATGTCTGTTTGGATTACTCCAACAATAAATTACAAAGAGAAAACAATTCTTGCAAAACTGCAAACCTCTTGTATAAATGTCTTAATATTTTGTCAGGCTAGCTACATCTTGTATATCACACAATGGAATCACCAGACATTCTGGGCCTTTACATGTGCTACTGTGCCGTGTTTTCAGTATCTATAGACTTAATTGTGCTAACAGCATTATTTTTGTACCCTGTGTTGCTTTGTGAAATGCATCCTATAAGTATTGGGGGCTCTCACTCACTAGTAATTTCCAATTCCTCGTTTCGTTCCATTTGGGTTTTAATTCCTGGGGAATTTTCCCCCCAATACTTTTCTGTAATATTATTTACTTATCTGTTGATTATTTTACTGCTTTTGCTTTAATTTTTCTGTCTATTCTTGATTCTACTAGGCTCTTGAATCGCTCAGGAGTTTCGTCTTGCCAGCTCTTAAATCGCTTAAGTCTGGTGGTCAGTTTGCCTCTCTTGAATCGCTCAAGGCAAAGCTCTTTGCTTTTAAATCGCTTAAAAGCTTTCTTTACTACTTATATATATGAGTATCTTATATGCAGCTCTTGAATCGCTTAAGGGTTTGCTCTAGATATCTACATGTATACTGTCTTGAATCGCTCAAGAACTTTCACTAGATATTTACTTTCGGCCTGTCTTGAATCGCTCAAGAGTTAATTGTCTGGCCTACTTAAAATATATTGCTGAGAATATATTTTTTGTTTCCTTGTGGCCTCTTTCTTTGCTTAGGAGGCTACCTCGTCAGTACATGTTTGTTTTTGTAGTATTGTATATAGTTAGCTTATTGTGTTGGGTGAGTAGCCCCTGATACGCCAAAGGATAAGTTTGTATTTTCTTTTATCTTGCTATCTGCCTCATTTAAATATCTCGAATTGTAATAAACAGGTAAACTGTTGTTTCATCATTTTTGTTGTGTATAAAAATAATTTATGGAGTATTTCTTCTATACTGCTTCGTGTAGCTGGATCGTAGACTTAGTGGACTCATGTAGGTAGTACAGCAGCCAATATTTTACCTTTGACATAGCTCAATCAAGAATGAAATGTTTCTACAGAATTTTCCCCATACTATCATAGGGTTATCAAACTAACTTAGAATACCCTAGCTACAATACACAGCTATGATTGTAAGAAAACATACAGAACATTTCTAACTTAAACTAGTACTGTAACTTTTGTTTTGACCTTTGAACTCAATGGAAGCAAAATTGTTCTTGGGTATAATTAAGTTTCATATATTAAAAGGGAAGAGGAAATACTGTCTACCAAACTATGGTAACTATTTTGAACTGTAAACAAGGAAAAATCATTTCTCGAGTACTTCGATCTACAACACTTTAATTCATACATGATCATCACTCAACCCAAAAACAATTTACCACATTTAGTAAGAGGGATGTCAAACTAGATGTCATAGCAATTAATGTACACTATAGAGATAAGAAAGTATGATTAACAATGGAATTATTTTTGACAAAAAGTAGAAGATCAGAGGACAATACCACACTCATTCCCAATGGTGGACACATTTGGTACAAGATTGTATGATCTTTTCTCAAAACTCCATGAACACTTTCAGTAAAGACAAAGTTTAACAGAATGTGGTGGCATTCACAAGTTTAATGATCCAACCTGAGATAATAGAGATCTGAGGTCAAAATAAAGGTCACAGAGACCTAGATTTCGTATGGTACTTGGGTCTTCATTACATGTACCCTATATTACTAAGTTTTATGATCCTATAAGAAACAATATAGGAAAACCGAGGTATACATGGCAGTGAAGACGTAAATATAACATTCACTATGTGTTACAAGATTATATTCTAGCTGTTCAAATTCATGATGTCAAAATGTCTTACATTGCAGCTTCCAAAAAAAGCGCTGAGTATATAACGACATTGAATGTCCTGAGGATGTGGCACAGCTTAATAGGTTGTAGATTAATTGTACAAATCAGCACCAAAGACAATATCCCTCTCTCAGCTCACTGCTTATCATCAGGAATTCTTGAGTACAGTGACATTTAGAATGTTTAGAATTTCAGACAAACGTTGAATATTAAAGAAAAGATCTCTGTGGACAGACAGTATTTTATATAGCATGGAACCTTGACAAGTAAAACTTCGATTAATGCTGCTCCTAACACATAGCGATTGTCTGGTCCTAGCTAACCGTTCTCTGTATAAACTTCGTCAGTTTAAAATGTTGAGGAAGACTTTAAAAGAACCATATGTCCAATGTGAGTGCACTTAAATGTGATAGTTCATCTTGACTTTTCAGTTGAAGGATAACTGGTGGTAGCTTTTTGTATGACCAATAGTAATTTAATATCATAACCTTATCAGCTTCTCGCTATGTTTCCCGATTTTGGAAGGCGACTGGCAATTTTTCTCCTTCATTTTTTACTTTTGAAATGAGCAGAAGTTCCTATATTGCTTGAATTCAATTATTTTATTACAAAAGAACGGCTTAAACCATGACATTTTACGCTAATGTCATGCAAGAAAGGCATCATGGTAAGTATAAACTTAATCTCTTGTTGGCCCAGATGTTAGCATGCTGTGGGCTTAATGTGGACAGAAACCTGGGCCCGTATTCATGAAACCGTTCTCATGCTCAGACATGGATTCTGTGCTCAAGCCAGCTTTTTTGTAACCCACCTTGATCATGTCAACGCTCAAAAAGTCAAATTTAAATATTGAAAACAGTCTTCGGCTTCAAGTTTCTTCAATTTTTGTCCAAAACCTTAACAAAATAAGATTTTTTAAATAATTTATAACTGGAACAAGAAATCAGACTTGAGCACAATCTAGATAACCCACACGGTTGTACAGGTGACCCAATACCTTTAGCAGGTCCGATCAGTTGAAAGACGAGTGTGCTTTACCACCATACCACCCAATAACTCATGTCATAGCTTTTAGACATTTTCAAATTTTGCCAGGCTTTTTTTCCCACATGAAAAAATGGAAAAAAATTGCATTCATGCTCGCTCAAAAACCTTGTCCACATGAAGTGTATTAATCAACAGTATGTGCACACGTCTATCCAGAAATTGCCGATACATGTACTGAGAACAGGCTCTGGAGAAGAAATTCAACTGCAGCATGTTTGACATGAAAAGTCAATCTTAGCAGAGGTATTTACAATGTATCAGCAATGAAATGGAAGAAAACAAACATAAAGATAATATATGTCTCACTTGTCATATTGTAAAATCATCAAATGGCCACTTTACAGCAGATGCATGCACGCATTCAAAGATCTCTTTGATAACCAATTCATAAAGTGAAACATCCCTAGTGAATACATACAGACTCATATGCTACATAGTTATTTTTCATATATATATAATTTCTATTCTGAAGTTTGAACTTTGGCTACTGATATACTTACACAGTAAAATGATAAATGAAGCATTTCCAGCCAGTGGGTCGTTCCAGGAAGTTATACAGCTGTGCCTGTATGGTACTCCGGGCGTGTCGGGACAGTGGCATGGACGTCCTGATGTCCCCTTTCTCATAAGTCTGATATGTTGCCTTTGGGTCCAAGTACGTGGCATTGTAATTTGGTATAGTTGATGCATGTGAATCTGTGTAGGTAGTAGGAACAGTGTAGGAGTTACTACCACTCTTGTTTTTACTACTACGAAATATTCCTGTGCGCATTTCCACTTTGGGAATGAAACACTTCCTCGTCTCATCTCCTTCACCCTGATCCATGTTTGGTTTGATTGTTTCCTCCCCAGCTAGTTTATGCCAACTTTCAAGTCATGGTAGTTCAGCTTATTTCCAGCTTATTTCCAGCTACCAGAGCTACAAAACAAGAAATAATATGTTGAAAGTCAAAGTTGAAGGAAAAATTTCAAAACTCAATTTTAAACCTTTCAAAATCATTGTGACAAAATATTTGACATAAATGTTTGATCTCCTTGTTCATTTACATCTATATGTATATAGCGATAAGTATTGTGAAAATAATCCTCATGTTTCTTCAAAGCAAGAAAAAAATGTAATTTACATTATGTTCTTTCTTATCTTACATTCATTTAAATATTTAAAATGTGATTAAAAAGTGTAAACTTTCTGTAATTAATCATAAACTAAAGATATATATACATTTTGCTAATTACGGATTATAAATATTTGATGTATATAGCTAGGATGTTACACGAGTTTCCATTTCATATGAGATTAATGATAGGAGTCTAAGAACTTTTCAATTTAGCGAGCCTCTGGAGAGCTAAAATGACAAATTTGTGACAATTAAGTTTCATTAACTTCATTATGAAATGAAAACGAGTGTAATATTCTTTTTATCACATAATCAAGATTTATGGCATTTATTCGTGTAAAACGACAATTTGCATGCAACCTTAAAATGTAAAAAGCTGCTGTTTTGACTCCAGTGCGTAAGTCTGTGACGTCATGTACTTGTCCTATGCATGACATCACAATTGAAACAATCGTAACTCACAACCAATCACAGGGCTGATAGGTCATATTGCATGGGTTAATACGCAAAAAAAATATGACATGGGTATATTCACTGGATAACGCACTACATTATTTGATAAAATAAAGATAAAACCAATATTCCTGCCCACGAGTTAAAAGTTGTCAGCACAATTTTGCACCTTATGTTGTAAAAGTAAAACAGAAAGAAAATACCAATTCAACATCACAAACCCTCCACAAAAAGGCAGACAAAAAAATCCTAATTAGACAAATAACAAAAACAGTAATATTTCTGTGAAGAGTTTTTGAAAAATCATTTGAAAATCTTTGTTTACAAACTTTGTGAGATACAATGCCCCAAACAATGACATGGATAAGTTGGTGTAAAGTTTGTCAGCTCAGCGACACAGAACTGTTAAATGGGATTTAATCACATATTTTTTCATAACTCGTATAACAGTAAACATTCAGGTGTTGTGATTCAGAATGCTTATACAAATAAATTGCAACCACAAATCATTTTTTCACAATTGGATTTGAAAATAATCAAAGCTGGCGAGGCCTGTACCTTCCCGAGAGATAATCCAAGCAAACATGCACTACTGCAAATTCTTTACCTGCAATACCAGGGAATTACAACAACTGCACTGGCAATACATATGATGCCACACAGTAGAATCTAAGGCAGGCTCAGAAAAAGGACAATTGATTTATTTACTAAATCTATTTGCTACATCAACTCATGGGCTGTCAATCTCCTGTTGTCAAGCAATCACATTTCACGGTGAATTTGGCACTCGAGATTTATTGGGATGAATTTGATTCCTAACAAGCAACCATACAAATGTCTATAGCTTGGCCCTTTCCACTGCTCTACAGGAGGTTTGAACATGTATTGGAACACAATTCAACTGAAAGAAGACGAAATTTAATCAGCATCACTCAGTATTTTTTGTTTAACATGAAAATGGGTCAAGATGATTTAGATGAACATACTTGATTGTCTTTTACTGCAAAAAGCTCGAGGAAAAACAGTTACCCAGGCTGAAACATAGATTGTTAGAGGATGCTTTTTACTTTCTTAAATTTATCTGACCCCTTTGCCCTTATGTACGTGCCTCAATAACATAATAACAAAAATTGATAGCCTTTCATCTCTGACTTAAGCCAAATGGTCTTGAACCTTTAGGGATCATTAGAATTATTTTTTTTAACCCATTTGAGACCTGTGACCTTGAACGTAGGTCAGGGTTGTTTATTTGAATTGACTGATAGCCAGCACAGCAAACTACAGGTTAAATATCATTACGCTAGGGACACTATGTCTTTGGAGGAAGTTTTAAGTTTAAAATATATTTCACCCTTAAAATCAGATTAAGGTCATCAATTTTTAACAACTTGGTAGCATACCTTCTCAGAAATCTAGAGGCTTAGTATCAAAACTCCATATTTTTTAGAGAAATAATTAAAGATCAATGCATAGTATTGCTTGTAAACATGCATGGTTAATTCTCCCGCCTCCGAAAATACCTACACATAAAACATTAACATAAGGGCCTTACTCTGTACAGACTAAGGCACATTAAGATCCTATTTCAGTTTGTGCCAGCTATTTTGGTTAAGGGCCCCATAGCAGGAATTGGGAAAATATCATCCAAATTTGGCAAAACTGGGAAATATCATCGGTGTTCCAACATGTACAGGTTTGGAAAAACATCATATGCTTGGAAAAAATAAAACATGGAACATGATTTGTAAAATGTTTTTCTCTACCTGTATTTTACAGTAAAATGTAAAGCAATAAATGAACATCAATTTTCCGTGTTTTTGTTTATTAAATTTCAAATTTTCATATCGTATTCTGAAAGCTCCATCGATCATGGATAATAATACTTTGAACTTTACACATATAACGACTGAAAACTTAATGTATAAACATCCTTTTTAATCCAATTAGGAAAATAAAGACTGAAATGTGGAAAATGCAGGGTCATTTTTCATATAGGATTGGGTCCCTGTATCGGAAACTATAAACACATGGCAAAACCTAGATCTGTTACTCTGCCATCCTAAGATATGGACAATATCAATATAGCTAATCAACAAATGGCTGTGTTATGGAACATCCATCATGGTATTGACCAGTATTCACAAGTGTGCAAATTAAACTATCTGGTCAGGAATAGGTCGAACATACATTCTTTCCTAATGCTTTTAAAAATCATTATTATAATGAAGAAGCTATAAACGCAGAGCAATACTTGGCAACTTTTCACAGTTTCCAAGGGGAAGATAATGCGCGATAGGAATTAACAGCTGCCTAAATAAACAAGAGGCCCATGGGCCTTAACGGTCACCTGATATATTTAAACAGAGAGTTGATTTCGTTTTTAACATGAACAGAAATATTATTCAAAGTGACAAAAAACAATAAAACCACCTTATTCAATATCAAGCATACAGATTTCAGACTAAAAAGGATTTGAAACTAGCACCTCTGATTCTAAACAAGGAAAATGAAGAAATTTTAGCACACTGACTCCCTTGAGCCCCACCCTACAGCCCTTGGGGGTAGGGCTGGCTCAAAATTTTCAAAGTATCAAACTGTCAACTCAAGGTTATAATTCCAATCAAGTTATTAACATG